CCCGCCCCCTTGCCCCTGGCGCCTCCGCGGGAGCCCCCGGCCCGCTGGCGCGCGCCTCCGCCGGGTCTCCCCGCCCCTTCCTCCATCGTCCAATCAGGGCTGGCCTCGGGCTCTGATTGGCGGCTGCCCCGAGTAACGGTTGTGAGACTCCAGCGCCTTCACCGCAGGGAGCGAACGTCCACGGTTCTGCGCTCCGTGGGCGCGTGTCTGTAGTTGCGCTGCCTTCGCGGTGCGACAGGGTGCCCTGCGCCTCCGTGACTGGCGACGGGGTGAGGAGACACGGAGCTTTCCTCTGTCGTGGGTTTCTGTCCCTGCCTTGGAACTGCACTTGGTGGAGGAAAGCCTGTCAGGGTCGCGCTCGCCACTGGCCGGACCAGACCCCTCGTGCGGGCCGGAAGTGGCCGTGTGGACTGGGATGGGGAACCCTGTGCCAGTTGCTGTCTCCCTGGAGTTCCCTTCCTCACGTCCAGGAAGATGTCGGGGAGCAGCACGAGGATAGGAGGCTGCCCACCATGACCGGCGTGGACCAGCCTGGACCTGTGCCACCTGGGACGTGACGTGCGTCACCAGGCTTCGCAGTAGGCAGTGACAGCCACCTGCGAAGATGCCGGGAAGACCCCTTTGCATGAAGCAAAGGCTGCTTGGCTGCCGTAAATGCTACTAACTGGTCTTACTCCTTGCCGACACCTATAGAATAAAGAGGACCCCAAATCCACGATGAGCTTTCTGAGGAGATGAGAAGTTATACTAGGTGTGAATGGGCATTATCAACTGTAGGTTCTGCACAAAGAGCTTTTTCCTTTCACACACTGATTAGAAATTCAAAAAGTACACAGGAAAGAACAAAAAAGAACAACTCACAAAATAGTTTTTCAAATGCAAAATAATCACGGTGACCCAAAGGAATAATTGTTGACAAGGCTCAGAAAAATACAACTAAGCAAAGACAGCATCATGGACCAGTTCATAAACAAAATAGCTAGCATATAAATATAGTGAATATAGTTTATAGCTTCAGCCTAGTCATTTATCAAATCAGTGAAATTATCAAGACATTACAGTTTTACAGAACTTAGAGGGGATATTAAATGAGCTCAAACACAGGTCAGAGGTAAGAAGGACATATGGATTGTTGTGTTTACCCAGCATCTGAAGGAATAAATACTTCCTCTTATTACAGAAGCCTCTGTCCTTAATACCTCTTTGATATGTGACCTTTCAGAATTAGAGTCTAGGCAAAATTATGAAGTACATAATTACACTTTTATTTTTTCTTCCCCTTATATGTCTTTCTACTAGAGAATTTATTGAAGTAAAAATGTCTGGCAAAACTGTAGGCACTCCTGGGAGAGTTTCAGGTTTTTACAGTTATTAAAGCCATAATTCAAAGCAGTGGTTGAATCTATTTCATAAACCAAGATATAGGGGAGCTCTTTGGGAAGGCTGTGGGTTCACCAGAACCTTCTGTAACTACAAGTATCAGTAGTCATGTATTTCTTGTAGGTCTGGCCCTAGTCATTTCTTACTTCCTCAATTTTCTTAATAATAAAAATGAAAAACATAAGCATGGCAGTGCATGCCTGTAACACCAGCTACTCAAGCTGTTACTGGGTTCTAGGATGCTGGAGAGCCCTAGAGATTCTTTACACGTTCTTGTCCTGAACAAAGAATTGAAAAGATAAGCACATAAAGGTAGAAAGGTTTTACATGTATAAAGGTAGGAAAAGAAAAGAAATTAAGTGCTCTGCAGAGTGGGTGTAGGCCAATTAAAGGTAAGAAAAACACACCATGCAAACCATAGGGTAGACAACTGAAAAAGGTAAGAGTGGCCCTAGCATCATGGCTTCCAGTCTTTTGTATCTCCCACTCCTCAGGCTGACATCAGGTCTAGGCCATTCTATCAAAAACCTGCTTGAGTTCTCACAATAAGAACTGAGTATTGCACTTTTTGTGCATGTGTCTTGGAACTCCATGATTGACAGGTCATGCCCTCTTGCCCAGCCAGATTGCCAGGCCCTAACCTCCTATCTCAAGGAGGCTGAAACAGGAGGATCACAAGTTTGAGGCCAGCCCAGGCAACTTAGCAAGACTCTGCCTATAAATTAAAAAAAAAAAAAAAAAAGTCTTTTAAGTGCTGGGGATGGAGCTCAGTGCTTTATGGGTTCAATATCCAGTACCAAAAAAGAAAGAAAAAAGAAAAATAATAATAGCATCATTTAGGGCCTACCCACTCCTAGGTCTAAAATGTGAATACATATGCAGATCTTGATGGAATAGCTTGTGTAGAAGGATGTTACCTTGATTTAAGGTGCTGTAATGCAAAAAAAGGAACCTCAAAGAAGTCAGACCCAGTTCCTCAATTATAGTTAGAATCCCGCTTTTTGATTCCCAGTGTGTAAAATCTTAGATTATTAGAATTACATTTTATTTCTGGATATTATTTTTAAAAAATCTGTAATGTCTTAATGAGTCTGTGGTGCCTTAAGGCAATAACTGTCTTATAACACATTAAATTCTTAATGGTAGCATATATTAATTATCCAGTCTCTTAAATAACTGAGTTTTCTTCTACTGGTTACACATAGAGCCATTTGCCTGTTTGAAAAGCTGGAGAAATTAGATATGACATTGCTTAATAAGGTGAGATAATTTTTTAAAAAGTTAGGGCCAGAAATAAGCAGGCCATAAATCATAAATGTGAAAGAAAGAAATAATTTATATGCTGATAGCACATTGCAGTCAAAGGGATCCAATCCAACCTTGTTATCCTGTATCATCTAATTTCTCTCAATGATGAGGCAACCACTATTATATTCCCCATATTCACTGACACACAGTGAAGTTAGATGATGTAACCCAGGCCCCACTGAAAAACAGACTCTGGGGGCTGGGGATTTAGCTCAGTGGCACAGTGCCTTCCTGGCAAGCACAAGGTCATGAGTTCGATTCCTGGTACCAGAAAAACACCAAAAAAAAAGAAAAACAGACTCTGGAATCAAGCCCAATTTTGTCTGACTTTACAGCCCATGTTCATAGCCACTATAATTTAAGAATGACAAAGGCAGTCTCTAACATCCTCAAAATAGTCCATTGCTATCAAGGAGACTGTCTCGGTTACTTTTTTCTCGCTGCTGGGACAAAATACCTGACACCCAAAATTAAGGAAGGAAAGGTTTATTTCGCTTACAGTTCATGGAGGTTTCAGTCCGTACTTGGCAGATTATAAGGCAGAGTGGCACATGGCAGAGAGCTACAGCTCCAGGTGGCAGACAACAGCAAAAGCAACAAGCACACACCAGCAAGGAATGGGGGAGGAATGGCCTCAAGCACTCTTTTCCTGTCCCTTACATATGCAAACTATCCACCCCAGGGCGGGTGTAGCTCTCACACCCATAATCAAACCCTAAAAGCCTGCCCCATGGCCACATGAGGCTTTGGGGGGACACACAGACACAAACCATAACAGAGATCTTGGTGTTCCTGGGAGCTGAGTTGGCACAGCTAGACCTTGATGCTCTCCTGTTAAGTTAAAATAATTTCAGAGAACATGAACATGAGACAAGACCACTCCATGATCATGATGGTCAGAACAAAAATAGATTACTCAATAATCATGTCTGAGCATGGGCAAAGTCATCAATGCTGTCCAAGTCATCAAATGGGATACACAATGTGAAGACACCAAACTAATGGGAAGTGGCTATTGCTTCTTTACCAGTTACTTTACTCATTCTAAACTTCCCTTTTTCTAGATAATATTTATCAAGATAAATAATCATAGACTTACCTCTACTTCCTGACAGTATTTGATTTAGAGCAAAGATCAGAGGTCTACCTCTTTAAACCCTTCACCAAATCACCTAACACAAACGCAAATCTTGGGGCTGGGGATTTAGCTCAGCGGCACAGTGCCTGCCTGGCAAGCACAAGGTCATGAGTTCGGTTCCCGGTACCAGAAAAAAACCAAACACAAATCTTAATATAACAGCCCTTTATAACACCCTGTTACTGAACTTCGCATGGTCCCTATGGTATGTGTTCTCCCTTACTGCAATGAGTAATAAGCTCAACTTGTTCAACTACAGATATTCCCAATGATCCTTGGCTAGAGAACATGGACAGTTTTTTCTGGACTATTTATTGTGTATCGTCCATTTCTCTGGGGTGAAAAGCATACATTTTAGGCATTTCTTGTCAAAGAAACTGGAAACTTCCTTCCATCTCCAGCCTAGGATTGTCACAAAAGCTAAAAGATGGGCTGGGGAATATAGCTCAGCAGCACAGCACTTGCCTGGCAAGTGTAGGGTCCTGAG